TTTGCGGTCATCACAACTCCCATCCAAAATATAAACGAGGTCACTACCAGCTGTATATAAGACGGTCACTATAGAACAGACTGTGAAGATAAAATATGCCTTCATTGAAATTGCTATTTGATTTCATCATAAGAAATAGCGCTCGAATTAAACTTGTTTAAAAATCTTAGGTTCCTTGAAAGAAACCCACCAATCAAAATCGAAGAAATTGAGAAATAATGGTAACATGGAACTGCATGACAATTTGTGATGCATCTACGTCAAACATTATGGCATCAGTAAGGACCTATCATGCACACTAAAATGGTCAGGAAACGAGGGTTGTGATTTGAAGTAATACTAACTGAAAAAGTTTTCACGTAACGACGACAATAAAGTATAACAACAAAATAAGGTATGTTAAATCCATTTTAGGCACAACATTTAAAATTATGCATAAAAGAATGCTCCGGCGACAATTCAATGGCCAAACGAAATATATTTCTGTTATTTCATTTGATCTTTAGTTTGTAGCTTACTGAACATAGAAAACAGCCATAAACTGTGCCTGGGAACTGCTATGAAGATTGAATATCCTCGATATTGTTCCAGATATCCTGCGCATTGTAAAGCTGCTTCCATTCAAAAAAATCATTGAGACACGTGCGGTTCCGGTTCTGAATTTACTGGTAATCAAAAATTATGACATTCTGTCCTCACCGTCATTACTGACGTTATGCTGTAGATGTTAAAATGTTATCATTTGTCAAATAGCAAACTACTCTACCGATTCAATTCAACCAACCAGGTAAAGTTTACAACACCATAATACCTAACTACAATTATTAGTTTCGTAAATTATGACATATGTCTAGGAAAGAGAACACTATTGTTATAAACCAGCTAGGAGAGGTCCAAGGGCCGCAGGTTAATCCATGAAGAAAACATGACGAGACGTCAATCATCAACGTTCTGAACGGAGCCTGACAACTGAGCAAGGCGGACTGAAGATTCAGAAAAATCTTGATCTGTTTGCAGACGACCTCGTTTTATTGGCATCTTCTGAAACTTATCTTCAGAATTGGGAGGAAAGGTTTGCAGGTGAGTGCAGGTGGTGGCATGCATGTGAACGCACCTAAAACGAAAAGCCTAGTGCTTTCTCGTTCTCCTGCCCGTTGCTCTCTTCAGATTAACGGGGAGGCTGTAGAGCAGGTGATGAGGGCAAAGTACCTCAGAGTGGTGTTTAATGATGACGGAAAATCTGAGGAAGATATCGACCAGCGGATTGGAGTAGCCACTGAGTTCTGCGCGAACCAGCTCGAACCGTTATAACATAAGCAGAGCTGAGTCTGAAGACTAAGCTCGCGGTGTTCAGTTCGATTTTTATCCTAATCCTCACATACGACCATGACATGACTTCAAAACTTCTCAGGGTACATGGATTCAAGCAGTGGAAATGTGTTTTTTAAGAAAAATTGCTGACCTTACGCGTGGGAACATTGTGCGGGGCATGGAAGTCAGCGACGACCTCAGTATACAACCGCTGCTTCTTCAGATTGAGAAGTCACACCTACGATGATTGGGACATGTGTTGCTGCGGATGCCTTCAGAAAGAAAGGCAAGGAAACAATTTCTTGCCCTGTTGACCGGCAGAAGGCCCAAGGGCGGCCAAGATTAGCTTAGTGCAAGCAGGTGGCAGGACTCTGCCAGAGGCTCCGATTTTCTTCTGT